TGCCGTTGTTTGCGGTTTCTGTCCCTTTCTTTTCCTTATCTTGATGAAGAGACGGGGAGCTCGAGATTTGGGGGTTACGGTCCACCTTGCTCACGGGATGGTGGCAAGATGGTGGGCAGCAAACGCCGCCAAATCGGGTGCTCAACACGAGTTCCCCGAGGAATAAGCCCGAGAGATATCGATATCCCATCTTCACCGTGACGTATCCTGTGCTTCCAGCAGGGCTGGGAAATCGTCTGACGAGCCGTTATCCCGCTATCCCGCAGGCAACGATGGGGGTCGCAGTCGCAGTCGTTTTTGTCGGTGGATGCTTTGGGTATCCGCCGCGAGGGTTTGGATTTCGCGAGCGTCGTCTATATTCTGGCTGGGCTTCTCCAAATTGTTCAGTCAAAAATTCCAGAAGACGTCCAAGAACATGCCAAGGGGGGGAAAGTATCTGCAGGCACCACACACCGTCGCATTAGTGAGTGATACGCCATGCCCCAAGCAAACAGGGATCACGATTCCGACGGCCGACCCGGGCCCAACAGGCCGCCGTGGACGTGGACGTGGACGTGGACGTGGACGTGGACGTGGACGGTGTGCAGCCCAGTCCTGAGTCTCCAACATTTGCTCACGGACGACGGCTGGCCTTTGGAGGACAACGGTTCGGGACGCTGTGACAGAAACTAGCCTGAAGAGGGCAGCAGCCAACAAATCCCAAGGCCGTCATTGGCTGGGACTTGAAGGTTTGCCCTGTCTGCGCGGTATTGCCGTTTCAATAGCAGCCTTTGGGGATTGTTAAACTCTTGTTGCCGCTGTCTCTGCTGGGCTCGGACGTGTTGCTTTTTCCCTTGCAATAGTGCGACACACAAGATGAAATGACCGGCGACACACAGATATGCGCTGTTCGGGTGTGTCAGCCACGGACGAGGCTTCGTTCATCTGGTGTTTCGTGCCGAGAGTGGCATATTGCCAGATGGGGAATGCGACGTGCAAGGCATTGGTCAGGCAAGGCAGCTGCGAGTGTCGTGTGCGCACGGAGGTGAGGTGGGTGAGTGCGAGAGTGGTTCAGCCAAGTTGGGCTCCGACCCGGGGACCGTCGGACGGCGGATTCAAGAATCGAGGTTGAAGGAGTTCCGGACGGGGCTGCGCCAGGAACAGCTAGCGTCGGCGAGTTGTCCGGCCGGCGATGGAGAATGTGCGAATATTCGTGGTTGACGGAGTCACGAGTGGGTGGACTGTGGAACGCCTCACGAGGAAGAAAAGAGTGGATTTGGAGCATGTCGTTTGTGGTGGAGAGAGAGTGAAGGGTGAAGGTGTGAAGTGCAAAGTACCTTTTTTTTTTTTTTTTTTTTTTTTTACGGGGGGCGGATGCGGATGCAGATGCAGGTCGAGACAGGGTCGAGGGTGTCCAGGGCTGGAGGGACAGGACAGGAGATGCGCCTGCGAGCTGCATGGCTGACGACTTTGGGAAGGGAAAGTGCCGACAGTTGACACATTTGGATGTTGCCTCCAGTCACTGCCCAAGGTTTGGGCCGACATCGCGCACTTCTCACCGGTTGGAGAAGGTGAGGGATCGGACGTCCCAACAAAACGCGGACCTACCTCCAGCACGGGGACTTGCTACTTCGTACTTACACATTGCATCGTAAGTAAACAAACAGTGACTACTAGTCAACCAACTGCCTTATGTCAGTTATGACCACCTGCATCTGTGTTTCCAAGGCAGAGAACGAATGAAGCTTGGATGCAGCTGCCATTGCCGCAAATACGTAATGGAGACAGCTGGAGGAGCTCAGGAGGCAGGACTGGAGCTATCCGTACAGCGTCCGAGGCCGTTCCGACTTTTGCAACTCTTGCAACTTTTTTTTTTTTTTTGCGAACTTGCTGCACGGGATCTCACCGTGGCAGGAGAAATCGGTGGGACAGCAGGGGATCTGCAGGGGTCGAATAAAAGCGAGAAGGGGACAAAAAGAGAAAAAAAAGATACGTACTCCACGGATTCTGAGCGACGAGTGGAAAGAATGTGGAGTGAGTCAAGCAGCAAGCAAACAATTGACGGGGCCAAGGGCCGATTAGCAGCCACGATGCCTCCTTTTTTCGTGCTGCTTCTTTCTTTTGATTCGCAGACAACCCGCGCAATTTACATATACGGCGGCGGCCACCAGCGGCGCCGATCCGATGGCCGGAGCTGAGTCCCGACGATTATGACTCTTGAGTCTTTTTTCTCGCTGGTGACTCTCTAGAAATAGCAAGGCCTCGTCTTCTAGCAGTGGTGGTGGTGATGGTACAAGGCATGGTCTTGGTTTTTGGTTTGTTTTTTCGCTGCCATCGTTTACCTGACGGGATATCATCAATCACAAACCCCGAATCAATTGAATCAACTTTTGATCAAATACGGAAACAAGCAAAACCCCATCAGGAGTCACTGCTCCACCGAAACAAGTATACGAACGAATACCTCACTGGTCTGGTCCGGTCTGGTCTGGTCTGCATCATCTGCATCTGGCATCTGCTCACGCACGCCGCATCGTATCGAATCGCATTGCCTCGCCTCCCCTAGCCCATCATCCGTACCCGCCGCGTCTTACGGACTTCCATCTCCATTCCACGGCCTGATTCCAGCTCCACCGGCCGGCGGCCAGTCTGCGAATCCGATCCCTTCCCCTTTCCCAGGTAGGCAGTCCCCCTTTTCACTTTTTCGCCTCCAATCTCACCTTGGTCACCGTGACGGCGTGACCCCCAACAACCCCAACCTGCCCTGTGTTATTGCTTGCAACAAGTTGCACTCAGCTTAGCGCACCGCGGGCTGCCCGTTGTCTGCCGACCGCCACGTTGCATTTCGGTCTTCTGTCCAGCCTCCGGCCGGGTGAATCAGCCTACTGGATAGTAATTGGCCTCCACTGGTTTCTATTCTGGCTTTCCTGTCGGTCCCCGTTGCTTCGCTAATGATGTTCGTCGATGGACAACGCATCATCTACGCCATTGTGAGCTGAGGAAACGGGCCGCCCATCTTTCTCAACACGCAAGCAAGCAAGCAAGCTAGCAAGCAAGCAAGCTTCGAGCTACGGGCACCTACTAACATCATCATCACCTGTGCTCTGCTACCTTACCTGCCTGACCATCAATGCAAACTCTCTGGGACTAAACGAAACTAATGGCCCGTTGACTAGTGTGTTGGAATCGCCTCCTTGCCGTCCACGGATACTATCCGTAGTTTCTGGACTAAACGTCGGCACCGGGAACACCGTCCCGGCGTCACCACATTCTCACATCGACCGTATCCCGTCACCTCACCGACGCCCCTCAGCATCACATCACCCCTGATCCACGCCCGGGCATCAACAATACGCAGTACGTATTGGACTGGAAGTACACAAACGAAGTACAAGCTCCAAAGTACCTCCGTGTTGAAGTTACCTTACCCCAAAAACTTTTCGCAAAATTCTCCTTCTCCAAATTCAGCCAGAATTGGGCACCAAAGAATAGGGAAAAAAACACGACCAGCCATTAACCAGCGAGAAAAAAGAAATTGCCAATTCCTGGAATCGGGTCTGGCTTCCGTCTTCTCCCACCCTCCTCCACACCCATCCTCTCCAGGGCTCCAACACCCCCCGTTCAAGACCACCCACTCTAAAGGACTGGACCCCGGTCCGGCCAGGACCCTCGTCACATCCCCCGTTCTTCCACACCCCTGGTCTCCCGGCCCCACGCCCACACACCCACGTCCCAGGCTGCATTGCTCTCCCGCGCTGCACAATCCGACGTCCGTCGCACACCACCCACACTCTCTTTGCGCTTACCTTAGCTTTCGAGACCCTGGGCCTGCCTCTGTGTTCCCGAAGCTCACTCACTTCACTGTTAGTCTTCGTTCGTTTGCACTGAGCAGCGGGCTGTCTGTCTTGTCTCTCGGGGCTTGGGTATCTTTTCCTGCTGGAACAAGAAACCTTGGAAGCACATCATACTCTGCCGAGTGCCTCTGGACGGATTCCGTACCTCCAATAGGTTCCTCGATTCGACATCCCCAAGAGACACACACCCCCTGTTCTCACTCCCTGCTTCTTCCGCCATCCCATCTCGTCAACACACGCCTGTCGCTTGTGCGTGCGACGTGCGCCCTCCCCCATCCCAATCCCGTCCATCCCATCACTTCCCAATTCTCGTTCCTCCTCCGCCCGTTTCCCGTCTATTACCTGGTATCCCGTACTAAGGCCCTCTTGGTCAACCTCAAAAGTACCCGGTACTTGTGGCTCTCTGCCGGCGGCGCCCCTCGCTGCCCGCCCTCGTCCCTGAAACTGCCTTGAAACCCCCTTCTCCCTCTCATTCTCAGATCCTTCATACACATGGGTCTAAGTCGAGGTACCTGGCTGGGCAAGCCTCCATCTAGAACCCGACCAGTTCACAAGGTTTTAAACCGACTTTTCCTCGTCGACGGCCCAGTTGCAGGGAACACGACGCCCTCCCCCTCTGTTGGTCCATCCAATGCGACTCTCGATTCTCCACGCTCTCACCATACTCTAAATTACTCTCCTGCGCCTTGCCCGAAGCCAGCAGCAACAACCGCCCTCTCTCCAACGCCTGCTCCTCCTCTCGCGCCTGCGCCTGCACCTGCACCTGCTGCGATTCGTCGTTGCCATACCTCTTCTCCGAGAATTTGTCTGCCTCGTCAGATTCCTCCCACCTCCTCCCCTTCCGGCCGGTCCCATTACACCACTATCCATACTCCTCCTCATCCCTCCCGCCTGCTGCTTCGCCGCACTCTTCCAACAACTACTAATTGCCTCGTCCCGTCGCCCACTTCCGCCTCCTCTTTCTTCTCCGCATCACTCACTCCGACACATGCGCCGGTAATGTCAATGGCGTCGTATCCTTTCAGCTCATCTAGCTCATCAGACATCTCTACGCCCCGGTCCGCTTCGCCCTCGCCATCGTCCGTCGCCTCTGCCCGCTCTTCCCGCTCGTCTATATCTAACAAGCGCATGTCCATTTCCAGTCGCAGGATGACGGACTTCAACCCAATGTCTTCTGTTGACATCAACGCTATCGAGGAGAAGATGAGAATGGCTTCCCTTGACCAACACCGCGGTTACGCCCAGAACACCTTTGGCGAAGTCCAGCAATACCGCAACAACGAGCCTCTCCCCAGATCTCAGGCTGTTGGCTACCAGGTTCTCAAGGAGCCTCTCTGGAACAAAGGTGAGTTGGACTCGGAGAAGAAGAGAGAAAAAAACAGCACACGATTCATCCATACCCTACCCTAGGGCAATGGGCAATCACTTCCTTCCCTCGCACCACACCTCCACTTACACCGTCATGCACGGGAGCTTCAACATACCACTCACTGCCCGCACTGAACCTACTGCATCCGCGCACCTGCACCTCACTGCACCGCACTGGCTTCCCCAACATGCCGTATCCCTTCACTCTGCACTGCTGCTCTATAAAGCTGCTCCCTTCATTTACCCTTCCCACTTTCTGCCCCTCTTCCTCTTGCCATTCACACCCTCGCAATAGCTCCCCCGCATGGCTTCCTCACTTTCAGGACGCTCTTGTCGTCTCCCCATCTCCTCTCTCCAATATCTTAAACCCCGCCGTCCTCTGCTCAACCCCAGGATATCTTCGTCCTCTATCCACAACTCCTCCAAGCTAACCGCCATGGTCGAATCAGGACTCGCTTTCACTCCCGAGGAGCGCATCAACAAGAACCTCACCGGTCTCATCCCCCACACCATGGAGAGCCTCCAGACGCAATGCGCGCGTGCGATGAAGATGATCAACACTCGCTCCACGCCCGTTGACAAGTACCTTTACCTGTCATCGCTCAAGGCCCAGAACTTTGACCTCTTCTACCGCCTGCTCATGGACAACATCCGCGACCTCATGCCCTTGGTCTACACCCCCACCATTGGCGACGTCTGCCTGCAGTACTCTACCCTCTACACCCGCCCCGAGGCTCTGTACATCTCCATCAAGCAGCGCAAGTCCATCCGCACCATGCTCCGCAACTGGCCCTACCCCAACCCCGAGATTTGCGTCGTCACTGACGGCTCTCGTATCCTGGGTCTTGGTGACTTGGGTGTCAACGGTGTTGGTATTTCTGTAAGTTACAGCCAAACAATGAGCCAAGTGACAAGCAGCTAACAGCCTTCAAGATCGGAAAGCTCGCCCTCTACACCGGTGCTGCCGGTATCCACCCCGAGAACACTCTCCCCATTGTCCTCGACACCGGAACCAACAACGAGAACAACCTGAAGGACCCCTTCTACCTTGGCATCCGCTCTAAGCGTGTCTCCGTTGCCGAGCAGCAGGCCTTCATGGACGAGTTCATGGAGGCTGTTGCCGAGGTCTACCCCAACATGACCGTCCAGTTCGAGGACTTCGAATCCGAGAAGGCCTTCAACTACCTTGACCGCTACCGCAACAAGTACCGCTGCTTCAACGACGACATCCAGGGAACTGGTGCCGTCGTCCTGGCCGGTTACATCAACGCCGTCGAGCTCTCTGGTGTCCCTCTTGAGGAGCAGCGCCTGGTCTTCATGGGAGCTGGCTCTGCCGGTGTCGGTGTTGCCAAGCAGCTTGTCGAGTACTACACCAAGCGTGGTCTCAGCGAGCAGGCCGCCAAGGACAAGTTCTGGCTGGTCGACACTAAGGGTCTCGTCACCAAGGATCGTGGCGACAAGCTCGCCGAGCACAAGAAGTACTTTGCCCGTACTGACAACAACGGCCACCAGTTCCGCACTCTCGAGGAGGTCATCGCCTACGTCAAGCCCAGCGCCTTGGTCGGTCTCACTGCCACCTTCGGTGTTTTCACCGAGTCCGTTGTCCGCGCCCTCAAGGCTTCCGTCGATGCCGGAGGCCTCGGCCGCCGCCCCGTCCTCTTCCCCCTCAGCAACCCTCTCACCAAGGCCGAGTGCACTTTCGAGCAGGCCATCCAGTGGACCGACGGCACCGTTCTCTTCGCCTCTGGATCCCCCTTCAACCCCGTCACCGTCAAGTCCAAGGAGGGCGAGTCCATCACCTACCACCCCAACCAGGGCAACAACGTCTACGTCTTCCCCGGTCTTGGTCTCGGTGCCATTCTCGCCAAGGCCACCAAGGTCACTGACGACATGGTTTACACCTCTGCTGCTTCTCTTGCCGCCTCTCTGAACGCCGACGAGATCCACAAGGGTCTCATCTACCCCCGCATTGAGCGCGTGCGTGACGCCAGCTTGGTCGTCGCCCGCGAGGTCATGAAGGCCGCCCGCAGAGCCGGTGTCTCCCAGCTTCCCGAGTCCCAGTGGGTCGAGTGGGAGGAGTGGGGTGATGTCGCCCTCAACGCCTGGATCAAGGAGCGCGTCTACGACCCCGTCAGCTTCTCCGAGAGGAGCCGTATCTAAACCGAAACCCACACACTGCTTCCAAGCAGAAACCGCGTACGATGATGGAAAACATTTTGAGTTGCATTTACGGACCGCAAAAGAGGGCTAGGACAGGATATCTGAGATGCTTTTCTCAGCGAGTTGAATTTTTGATTCCGGCGTTGGGGTAGGCATTTGGGGCCTTGTTTTCACCATCCCCCAAAATTGAGCGAAGGGATACACAACCATTTTCGTCGTCGTCACCGAAAAGGACGACAATGCTTTCTTCAGAAGAACGCCCCCTGCATGCCACCAGATACACCGAGCGCGTGGTCGCTTCGGACCTTTTTGATTCCCGGCATTTTTAGTTGAGCTGCCCCGTAGAGAGGGGAGAGGTGGTCAGGTCTCGCGTTAATACTTCCTAATGAGTCTCCGAGGCTGAATGGAAACGCGACATAGAAAATAGATTTCAATACCTCTGTCAATGTTTTGTCCGCGATGTGCCCCTACGTGACTACAGCAACAGCTTCACTCAGCTACATGATTGAAAACACAGGGGACAGCTTCAACACAGCTACAGCCAATACCTAGGCGACCAGCTTGAACAGCTTCATCGTAAAGAAACCCAGACGACGTCAACCCCGACCCCAAATCCTCGGGATGTCGTCCAGATCCCCAAAAAGCGAGCTCTCCCCGCATGCAATGGAACCCCACCTGAGCCAAAAGTCTCCCCCCCGTCCCCAAACGAATGAGCTCGCCCCAATAATTCCCAAAGCTCCCGTCTCCAACTTGGGGACAGCTGAACTGTGTTGGGGAAGCTCGGAACCTGTTGAGGAGGAAGGGAAACAAACACCAAACCACCAACCAACCGTGCTTCTCCCATCCCAGCGACTAGACCGGACTAGGCAGAAGAGCGCATGCCACGTTTGTTTGCTTTTAGCAAGCCGGCCGGGACCCCAAACTTACGCCGAACTAATCATAATCACCAAACAATGGAATATAATTGGCTTTTACCCGCCCTCCTGACAACCCCCCGAGACAACTTACGAGCAAAACCCGGGAGAGGCGGCATGCGCTAGAGAACCGGCGGCGTCTCAGGGACGCAACGTCTAGATAGAACAGAACATGCATACACCGTGATGCAGAGCGAACAAGCTCGGGGGGGATGTTTGCCAATCCAATCAACGTCATACGCCGCCCAACGAACGCGGGCGTGGGCTGGGCTAGGTTGCATGTTCCCTCGGCATAGGTTCCCCGGACTTTGGCTCCATAAGGTTGTCACTCGGCACCTCGGTAAGTCGGACGGAGCTCCAGCGGCGTTTTCTTGGGTATCCATCCGGGATGCGACGTTCGTCTTTCGTCCAGCTCAACAGCTGCTCCATCTGTTTGTGACTGTAGAACGTGTGCAATTACAATCAAGCCGGCAGGGAGAGTTCGTCAAAAAGACACCGGATGAAAGAAAACATAACAGTGAGAAGAAGTTTATCGTGACTTGACTGACTAGACGAAATGTTGAAAAGTCTGGGAAAACCAACCAACCAACCTCCACCCCCCCCGTGTCGGCGCCGGCTCGGGATTTCATCCACGGACACCCTGTACTGCAAGCAAGGTCGAGTCCCCAGCGCCTCGGCATCGGTTCGTCCAACACGCTCACGACGTTAGGTATCCGTAGGCAACACAAACACAAGCAAACCCCATCCTGTCCCATCTCAACACCACACCACACCGCACCCCCCACCATCTCCATCGGCGCAACGCGGGGAAGAGTGGTACGCAGTACATTGACAGGGCCAGATAAGCTCCGTCTCCGTAATGAACCACCAAAAACAGAAGCGAGATGTGGATTGTGTGGGTGGTACGGGAGAAGAGCAGACGCAGACGCAGGATGCAAATCTCACAGGGATGAGATTCCTAAGGCTGCAGATGCTCATGCCCGTTTTCCTCCGCATGTTGGGGGCTGGGTCGGGGTGGGATGGGGAGGGGGTGTGTGTACCGCGAAATTGGAGGCCAGGGGGGAGGGACGGGAGGACGGGGAGGGGAGGGGGGGACCAACGTTCTCCCGCTGCACCCTCCTGTGTCTCTACCTCCTCGAGATAGGGGTCCCGGGCTGACTCCCCGCGCCGTCGGGGTACGGCGCCCGGTTGGCCATCGGGGGGATACGGATGTGGTTGCCGGCACGCGGAGGCCGCAGTCCGGGGAATGATGTACTCATATTCCAATCTAAGCCTTGTCGATCTATAGGGCCTCGTGGTCTTCAATCTCTGCCACGTCCGAACCCGTCATTCTCACCGGAACATCGAAAGACCGCGGCACCCATGCCTGCAGCTTTTAATAGAAACAGCTATAAATGTCACTTCCCGGTCTTCATCACCATGGGTCACCATCGATTTCAATGTAGGACTTGGTATGATTTGTTTTTGAACTGTCTGGCTCGCTCGGTTTGGCAATATGCACCGAGAATGCGAGGGGGTATTTTGTATGAATGACAAAGCAAGAAAACAGCGTGCTTTGAGAGCAGGTAGGTGATGAGCGAGGGAAAGAAAAAGAAAAAAGCCAGGCTATGCCGTTGCAGTGAGGTTCCAACTTCGATATGATGTAATGAAATGTTCCTTCATGGTACGATTTGCCTCGTGAGGATGAACAACACGCTCCCAGAACTCCCTTTGCTCATGCATAAAGCATCTTAACCCCAAGTCTCTCTCCTGTTCCATCCTGTAAAGAAATGATCCTGTCGACGGTCTCGCTCCAGCGGTAGTGTCGCCTATGCCCATACGCCTGTTCGTGTTTGATTGTTTGCACCGGTTGCAAAGACTGAACTCAGCCTTTACGGAAAAGCCGTTTCGTTCCCCCAACTTTGCCCATGTCGCCAAACTCAGAGGTCTTGCGCATCTCGCCGCTAGCGAGGCGAACCTTCTCCTTGACGCTCTCAACCCAGGCGCGATTTTCCTCACTCATCTCGACTCTCCGACCAGTCGGACCAGCAAGGCCCAGGAAGGAGCTGTCCTCTTCGGCCCAGGCGTGCGAGCTAGCCCGTGACCTGTTGGAATCTTCTGAAGACGGCGTGTACTTGTCTGGAATGGGTGGCACCGCTGGAGTCTGGGGGAGGTACATTGGGACAGATGTACTTGATGGGAGATCCGCCGCACCAAAAGATTTCCTAGCCTTTCGCACATGCAGCGGAGTCATCGGAGACATGTCCAAAGCGGAAGCCGGCCGGCTCGGAGGACTTGATGTCGGCCCCCGGCTGTGGCTCGTTGTCGGACGGGGAATATCTCGAACCTCGACCTTGGCCTTGTCCGCACCTGTAGAGCGGCGCCCATGGTGTGCAGCATACTCCTTCAGATACTCTCCAAGGTCAGCCCATCCACCACCAACACGGACCATGACACGCTCTCCGTTCTCACCGACACAGCGAATGAACAACTTGATAGGAGCCTCTCCGGTAGATCGGGAAAGGTGGTAAACCTTGATGTCCTGCTGGCCCTGAGGGCGCCTCGGTCTGGGGTTCTTGGCGTAGGCAGGTGCAAGTGTCAAGTACGGTGTAGGGGCTCGCGAAGAGGTCCGTGATGTCACGGACATGGCGGAAGCGGATCTTCTCATCGTTTCTCTGGATGGCTTCTTAAGCCGTCTCGCAGGCAGATCCGGTGGCGGAGGGTTCAGGTTCACTTTCGGAGGACCCGAGGCCAGCTTGATGTTGGCCGGAATCGAGTCAAGAATGTCACTGATTTGCTGCCGAAGATAATCGTCTGACCTGATATCTGAGGGTGCTCTAGGCGGAGGGACGGTTGTGAAAGACGTGTCGAACTCGTCATCCAAGAAGGAAGACTCGAGAGGGAGCGCCGGCAGCAGGCCGTCTCCATGTGGACCAACCATTGGACTGGCGCTATCCTCTCTGAAGCTGGGCCGGAACGGGGGTGAGCTGGGCGGACTGATGCTCATGAAACGTGTGGTGGCAGCTTGTTGACGGGCGGTCTCTACAGCCTTCTGACGCGGCAGAGGCGGCGAAGCTGAGACTTCAGGGGCGTCACTCGTGGCATCTGCCAGCAGACTGGTGTGACCATGAAGGACGGTGGATGATTGCGATGCGTTGCTGCCGCGCCGACCAGGACGGATCAGTGGCGGCAGCTCCAGCTCATCTTCGCTCTCGGGTGTGTCCGACAGAATCTCGACACCCTCGTCGTCGACCGAAGTCGAGGGCGCGCCAGTGTTGTCCTCATGGCTAGCTCTGATGATTGGCACGACTATTTCCTCCTTCGCCTTGCCTTCCCGAGAGCTGGATGTGTCACTCTTCTTGGTGTGCTCTTCATTGCGCATCTCGGTCAGAGGCATTCGCTTGGCTTTGGAAGCCTCAGCGGAGCCATCAAGACCAATTGCCGTTGTCGTTGAGTGCGCCTTCTTGTGTGCTTGTAGCTGGGAAGGAGACACCTCAGGGGCTTCTTCGTCGGAGCCCTCTGATTGTTCAGGGGTGGCGTCGGCGTGGAAAATGATGGAATTGCTCTCGCTCTTGTCGGTGACTGGTTCTGTCTTTGAAGGCTCACTCTTGACGGCGACAGGCAGAGTGACCGTCCTCGGGTCGTCCGCAACAACTGGCAGAGAGCTAGCATTGACTTGGGGGTTGCTTGCGGTCTTCTCAACAGTGTCTTTGGTGGATGTTTTCTGAGCTTGCTGTTCAGACCCATTCGTAGTTACCTCCGGCGGCTGTTTGATTGAGACACTCGCCGGCTCAGTTGGCGTGGTTGAGATAGAATCCTTCTGGCGCATGAGCTTGGCCCATTCTCCTTCCCGAATCTTTTGTTCGCCGACGGCAACCCATTCCGCGTAGTTCCGCTCAATCTTCTCCATCCGATCAAGCCAGTCATCTGGCAGGGTATCTTGCAACCCTTCCAAGCTGTCGAGCATGTAATCAAGGCTGCGCCCTGACTTTGTGATTTGCTTCTCCAGCACTGCTTTCACAACGGTGTAAGCTTGCTTGAGCTGAGACAACTCGTCATTTTCAGCCGCGTCTTCCACCGGCGGCGTGTTTGCTGGCGATGATAGCA